GGAAAGAGAAGGGTGAAGATGGAATTAAAAGGGAATAAGAATATTTTTGGAAACAAGAAAAAATCAATTAAGGGTGTGAAGAGCAAACAGAGGAATGAATAGCAATTCTCATAGTTTTAAGGGATAAATTCATGTCCTGGGTTTCGGTTTGGGTAGCATGGCCCAAACCCTTTTCTAATTTCGATGCCTTTTTCTACTCTAGACGTCAGGTATGGAAGCCGCCACATAAAATCCATCAGTTCCCAACCATAAAATGGCAGCCTGTCATTTTCCTGTCACTGCAACCTTCCATGGCATGACATATGGCCTCTATATAACTACACCAACGCGAAATCTAGTTGAGATTAAATTTTATGATATACAGACACCGCGAATAACATTCAGAGCTTACAATTCTTGTTATTCCATTCATGAGAAATTCTTCAAACACTTCTTGTCGAAAACATTTAAACTAACTTTTTTGAGTTCTGCTGTAGGAGTCAGACACTAATGATCTCTAAAAAATGCCTCTACACATCACAATAATTAGCGTGATATTTTGCACCAAGTATCAAAATAACCTTCTAACAGAATGGGGGAAAACGAGTACAATTCTAAATGTTAAACCGCACAATATTTTTGCACTAATGTATACAGAACAATGATGTATAGTAATCCATCTCACTTGACGCTATTCCGATAAAGTGTAGGACAAAATTGTGCCAAAACCTTTCAGCTTTTTCCTCACTTAAAGCTACAGTTAGCATCTGCAACTATAAATTGGTAACATTAGTTCTCATTATCTTAAATCATAGCAACTGACGGGCCCCCATCCCACGCCACACACACCCAAATGAAAGTAAATGAGAATAAGGTACAGTGTTGTGGATCCAAAAGAATGGAAGCTCCTCAATTTACGGTTGCACAAAGTCTGCCATGCAGCACGTTCCAAAACAGATATCTTGAAAGGGAGAATAGTAGTCCAGAGGATCAGTAAACGACACTCCTTTTTCGGCCTAAGTGACTACAAGCTGACATTTTGACAAATCTAATTGTATAAGAACTATACAGATCCCTTTTTTGTTTTGGGGGAAGGGGGTGGGAGGGAAATTTCTTCGACAACTGGTGAATAAACTCCCCTCGTACAAATGCTATACGTTCCCGATAATAATGGGCAATTATTTCCATCATAAAACAGCCTAAGATCTTCTCATACATTGCTGGCCAACCACCACCAATTGTGGTTCATCTAGCAAATACCAAAACCTGCTTATTGGTAGGATACAAGGAATGAATCTGAGATTCCCAAAACGAACCACTTGTGTTCAGTGATGCTCGCTACCATACATCACTCCATGGGCTCTTCTAAGTCATCCAATTACACTAAATGCATTTGTCATCATTATACCCCGCCAGAACCTGCTCCTACTAAAACCCTGAATTGTATAGTAAATTTTAAAATGCTATACATCCCAACAGAGGCATGTATGCCAAAACTAGTTGACATCACTGCAACTTGCAAATTTATTTGCCTAAACCACTTTTTTGTTATGCAGAAATGCAATGCATCTGCATAAACAGGGCCACACCAGGAACCAATTGGATGCCAAACTCAACATTCTTCAGCCCAGCAAATGATGTTATCAGTTCCACCAAAAATTTAGTTTACAGCTTCAAAGAAAAGAACCTGAGGTTGTAGATGCCCTCTTTCACAAATTGTAAGAACATCCGCCCATCCACCAATTACCTGGTTATTGAAGAAAAAACTTTAATACAGCAAGAATACCAAAAAAAAAAAAAAATCTGCTCATAGATTCAACAAACCTTGACAGTCTTGTCATCATACATAATCCACTGTCCATGGTCATGGCTATAAGCAAAGCAATGATAATGTTGACCATAGTAGCAAACCTAAAGGTTAAATAACACGTGAGCACATATATGAAGCAGACAATTGTGGCATGTGATATAACTAATTTTTTCCTTTCAACACAGTAAATATGTAGCCAAAAAAAGATGGAAGAATTAGTAGGGGTTGGTGGTCAAAGTCAGTCCTTCCAGGACTTAAATATGAAAAGCAATATTTAAAAATAAGATGTTTTACTGAGGAATACTGCATTGTGTTCAATCTGTAATAAAGCTGAAATCATCTCTTAGAAGCAAAGAATAAGTAAAAGAACTAAATACAAACATTCCTTGCATATTAAAAAATACATACCACTGACACCAAGTTATGGATGCATTTAGGATCTAAACCACGATAAAGGACACTTATATCTATCTTGGTGCTCAGGGCTTCCAGAGTCGATGTTATATCATCCGCACTCTCACATGTATTTTGCCAACCTAGGACTGTGAATAAAAAACATTTGAAAAAAAATACCAAAAAAGCATATAAAAATTGTCAACAATATTCCAAAAGCAACAACTGAGTTACCAGTCATAAAAACATGGGGTGGAGTTGAAAGAAAGTGATGGATGTGGTTGAGCTTGCCACAGCCACCAGCTTCTAGATCACAAGCCAACTGATGGTTCATCTCCACAAGATTCAAAAGCTTATCAAATGAAGCTTCAGCAAACATTACCTAGAAAGTGAGAAAGGACCCAGCTAAGGTACTCAACAAGCATAATTGTTTGGCCATGCTCCCAGCAGCATAAAATCATAAATGCTAAGAACTGTAAAATGTTAAAAATAAAACCTTCATAAAGATACCTTCATTGTTCGGAGGGCACTGGCATTTATATTGTGAAAGAAGGAAGTATATTTCATATGTCTGGATTCACGGCCGCAGTGATAGCAGTTCATTTGTTCAAAAATGTTCATTCCAAAAAGTGAATGTGCTATACAACTACCATTTGCACAGTCCCACGACCCCATACAGATGCTTTCAGCTGATTCTGCATCAGAAACACTTGAACCACGAGTAAAGGATCGATGAAGGCAGTCAAATATCACCGCCAGTACCTCAGAAGCATCATTCATCTGAGCCTGCCAAATATCTGTATATCAGTCAAATCGTCCACAGAAGAAATATCTTCAATCTATGTCAATGTCAATGAAGTTACCTCCTGGAAGAAATTACTGTGAGGATACAGGTTGCTAAGAGCTATCCGCAGAGATGTAGGTGCAACTGCCTCTCTCCGTGAATCCTTTGATGCAATATCCAGTGCAGTGAATATTTCATACAATGCACAGACAACGCAAGGACTACCCACATGATCATGCTCTGATCTTGATCTGCCAAGAAATTCCACCCGAAAGCGTCTTAAATGCCACAATGACTGAGGTCATACAAAGACAAAAAATTATTTTAGGCTATGGAAAATAATACATCAATAAATAAACAGTGCAGCAGCTGATATAGTAATGAATTGGAAGTTTCAAAGACCTACCTGTATAATAACATTGAGAAAACAATTATATTCACCCACTTCATTCTTCAGTCCAGTACCAAGCAAAGTCGCCCCATTCACATTATCGGTTGAGTCATCCACAGTAGGACAATTGACACTATCTACCTGTGAGGAAGCTCTTTGTGACATGCTTAAACTGGAAACCGAAGATAAATTTCCACGAGCTTGATATGTGTCTGATAAAAACAATATCTTTCAAGGTTAGAGAATCGTCATAGTTCCATAATTCTTCAACATGATCCCAGAATTATTTTAAAGTAGGGAACATTAGCATTTCTCTCAGGATTCAGCTAATAGTTCATGTCAAGTTTTGGTTGTAGGCCAAGTAGAATCGTGCGAGTGTCGAGAGGTTTTCTCATTTATGAGAAATATGTCCTATCTAGGAACTGTATATCTTCTGTAAATATTTAGGATTTGATATGTTTTCCAAATTTCCTAGTTATATAATATTAGAGATTGTAAATCACATATAATTAATCGTGTGGAGGCTATTACAGAAAGCAACAGAACAAAGGATAGGAGAATGGAAAACTTCCCAAGAAATGGGCATCTAAACAGTTTCATTTCCTTGGTCATTAACGGTGAAGTGGATTTTGCATGAAGAGCATGTTATATAAGAGAACACATAACTAGTCTATGAGTGCAGGGAATGAAAAAAAAACTTACCCAGGCTTTGGCGTACGGCAATTTTAAGATCAGCTTGAAATCTTTCCTCCTCTGCATCTGATGCATTGTTTTCCCTCACTGATGGCACATCCAAAGAACAGCAAATTAATTTTCATACTCAAAAGAAGCCTTTTATTATTAGTATTTAAAAAATGTTATAAATGACATAAAAAACACATTGACATAATTCTACAGGAAAGAAGCAAAAGTGATGCTAATGAGTTTTCAAACACTATCAAATCTTATTTCTAATCTAACTTAATAGTGTACTGCAGAGTATATTTTAACCAGACATTTTTATTTTGAGAAGAAAGTCCATTGGGGGAAAAAGATCTAAATAAACATTATCAGAGAAAGTATAACTGATCTCATAAATCATAATACCTTTTTACCATTCCATCTCATACCTGATAAGGTCATTAAACCGCAGTGCTCAAAGAAAAAATAAAAAAAAAAATCATTACAGATTATAATTTGTAGATAAGTTTAGCTATTAGATTTCTCACACAAAATACACTATCAGACATATAAGATACAAACCTAGCCATAAAATGATCACAATAACATACAACTATTAATAAAATTGGAGAATTTTTAAAAGAGAGAGCCATGTGACAAAGATTGCCGACATTATGACAAAAGAATGGACTAGGTAAAACAAAGATGACAAAAAAAAAAAAGCACCCTGCAATTGGCTTTACAAATTACACACAAAAAAGATTAGCATATTTGGAAAAAGTGATAAAAATCAAAATTATGTTTAAAACAAGATATTGATCCCACAGTTACCACTGGCATATGAATAATGATAATAAGCAACTAAAGCTCAAATGATAAATAAAATGTTGTAATGATTTTAACAAGGGAAAGACCTCCCAACATCCCCTTCAAATTTTGTGCATGCATGTGTACATTTTAGTAAGCCAAGCATATATAGTACGACAAACTAGCAGTCAAATAAATCTTGATTAAAAAACCATAATTAGATCAGAAATAATATGCACCAGCATTACATCAAAAGAGTATTTGGGCAAGGATAAACTAACCATTATTAGCATCTTGATTGTTATTAAATTTGAATTGCTCTCTTGAGCAATAATCGGTATGTGTATCCTCAGTGTTCTCTTTTTCTGATGAGATAGATTCAAACTTTCCATCAACCAGTCTGGAAGAATTCTTCTGCCGTTTATGTTTTTTACCTGTACGCCCAGACAAAGGTAGACCATTCTCTGGAACTGGAACAACTCCATTAGGCAGATCATCTGCTGTAGAAAAGAATTAAATAAATGTGGAGAACCTCAAGCAAGAAAATAAATAAATTTTGAGAAACTCAAACCACCAACATTGTTTAACTTTGGACTGATGCAAATAATTAACCATGGAACCATTTGCTCTGGGTGTAAGCACACCATCCAGATTACTTCGTGATCCGTTCTCTTTTACCAACTGCTCCTGAAAAAATAAGCCAGTTCAGAGGTATATTTCCTTTAATACTTACTCTCCATAAAGTACTATTTCCTTCCATTATTACATTTTCCTTGCAAGTCCATTAAGCAAGAAACAGTAACTTAAAGACTAATAACCAGAAATCTTGTCTCCCTGCATGCAAAGAAATTCATACCTGCACAGGTACTCTTACATGTTCATGTGCATCTGGTAGATCATCATCCGCCTTTGTTTGACAATCTTGAAGTTTGTCTGCCACTTCTTCTGAGTATAACCCAGATGATTTTTTCTGTTGCTCTGCAAGGTGCTTCTGTTTGGCTTCATTTTCTATCCTTCGTTGAAATTCCAAAGTTTCTTCAAGCTTTTTTTCCTCCTCTTCTAGCTCAATTTTACGTCTAAATTCCTCTTCAAGTTGTTCCACGTCACCATCGATCATAGAAACATCCTCATGATCTGGGAAGTCACTTTCAGGTGGAATTAGATTGGAACTGTAACAGAACCACATCCAAAACATTTTTAAGAAGAGTGACAGTGTCTCTAGAAGATTACACGTTAAAAAATAAAAAGAATTTAAAAAAAATGACAAGTAAACTAACTCAGGAGTTGTAGGTCGAGGTGAGAACTGCACATGACCACTTAAGGACTGCAAGAGAAAGAAACTTTAGTCACTCGTCATAGACAATGACCCATACATAAACAAATTCCAAAATCTACATGAATGAACACCTTCAAATCTCTTGCTTTTCTGTGATCTTTATTCTTCTTCTTATCTTTTGTCTTCTCGACATGTCTTGTGCTCTCACTTCCCCCCTTAACAGCCTTCTTGGAATCAAGTGCAAGTTCGGCCAAAAAGGCTTCACTTGCAGCATCAGACTTCTCTTTTGCATCCTTTTCAGCCAAATCTTCCAAAAGTGCCTAAAATATTAAAACAAGGGAACATTTAGTTAAGTGAAAGGTAATGCAACAGCACATGTTCAGCAGTTTGAATACAAACCCTTAGGTAGGACTTCACTAGAGGCACTAATATTGCTCGATAATCATTAGCAGAAACAGGTCCAAGCTTGAATTCCATTTGTTGCATCGATGTAAAACTTCTAATTATTCGGGCATCAGTTTTGCTAAGCTACACAAAGAAAAAAAGAAAATTAGAACATAAAGGCAAAAGGACATCCTCGCTGTTATCTTAGTAGGCATGTGAAACAAATCAACAAACTGACCTCTATAGATAAATGCTCTTTCAGTTTCTGAATTGCGTTTTCTATACAACCATCCATTTGATGCAAGTAGTCCTTCATTCTCCATTCATCTTCTTCACCAGATTCCAAGTCACATAACTGAGAAGTCACACCAGCATAAGTTTCCTCATAGCCAAATTGATTAACATTCCTTGCTTCTGCTTCTTGCAAAACATTTGATATAGCATCCAACTCAAACCTATTGCTGACATACATCATTTCATTCTCACTCTCAATGAGCTCTTCTCTCCGTTTTCTCAAGACAGATTCATAGCTTCGCTGGACAAATTCACCAACCGTTTCCCTCTTCTTACCTTCTTCGAGACAAAGATCCTCTACTGTTTGCAGTGCTTCCTCATAACTTATACGCTCACCCTTCTTCTCACATAACCCCTGTAGGTGATAAAACTCCTTCTCGAGTAGCTGGACAATTTCCTTTCCTTTATTTATTTTATCTTCTCTAGTCCGCAGCCATGATGTCAATTGATCCCCAATAGGCGAACTTGAAAATATCCAGGACAGCAACGCATCATTATAGCATGAAATTCCATCAGGTGAGCTTGAGGTGGTTATATCTTCCAAAACAGGCCCCTGAGCTGTACCAGGGGTGACTTGTCCTTGTAGTAAACACTCGTCCAGATGGAGGCATGATGCATCTCCATCAAGTACAATCTTGTCTTTAATCTCAGGACCTTGAGTGATATTGAGCAAATCATTTGTGGGACTACTGCCTTTATCAGCAGGCCTCTCCACCCCACAAGCATGACATATTTCCTGCAGAAATTGGAAAATTGTCTTGAGCTGTGAAGCTCCCAGAAAGCATATACACATTGGTGTTTGGTCCACGCCATGATTGAGAAGTTGAGAACCAGCAGCAAGACCTTGTATCTCCCCCATCGTAAACTGTATGACCTTGTTAAGATGACTAGCAGCAAGACATTTGTGCCTAATAAGAACCTCCAACTTGGCATGAATTTTCTCCAGAAGTTTTGCACGCTCAGTGTCATCAGATACTGGCCAACAATCAATAATGGGATTAGCCATGGATAGTTGATCTTCAACACCACCTCTAACATCACTTTCTATAATTTTACAATAGTTGTTGCATTCGGCTGAATAATTACGAAGACTGTCCCCTGGACTTTCCTTCTCAATGTAAGAGCTGCCTGCATCTTTGAAACAATCATTATAGTCCGGAGTATGATGATCCAAGTATAAATCCTCAGGAAATGAAGGACTCCTGAACTTTGCTTTATTATCAAGCATTCTAACTGCAGCTATGACATCCAGAGGCTTCCAAGAACAATTAAGAATCATCTCAACCCATTCACTATCAACATGTTGGGGAAGAAGCCTCTGCATTTGTGGCGAGAGACTCCCCATGTGTTCCTGCACAACATGATGCCTATGAGAATCCGGGTTGGAATCTTTCCTTTCACAGTTGCAGCAAAGCCAGAACTTCCACGTTTTGTTGACCTCAGCATAAGACAAAGCTTCTGATAATATATCGTTCGGCAAAGTATCGTTGGAAGACCCATAGTGTGACTTGAGATCACAAATTTTAACCCTAAGAAAATCCTTCTTCATATCCATACTCACTGAATTCCAATATCCGTACACCCACTTCATCCTCTCAGCTGTAAAGCCATTCTTTCTCGCATTCCCATGCCTCCTCCTATCACTACCAATCCTCTGAGTGGATCCCGCAGAGGAATCCAACTGCCTGTCATCCCTCTCTCCTTCGTTCGGCGAATGTGGCGACTCTGACTTCTGCTGCAACAGCCTTGCAGCAGCCACTCGAACTTCAATTTCCTTTCTCCTTTCCTCGGGCGTCTTGGTGACCTTCTTGATCTCATTAGGCCGTCTAGTTTGAACCAGCCTCACCTCCATGGGGTCCTCAGGAGTCCTCCTTATCGGAATCAACCGAAACCTCTCCTCCCCATTGCTCAAGTTCTTCATCCAAGAGGACAAGGAAGCTATATTCGACTTCTGAATGAGCTGCCTCAACTCATTCTGCACGTGCGCTATCCGCTCTTCAGGGGAAGAAACTTTCTGCTCGCTCTCATCCTGCAATGTCTCCTTCGCAGGATCACTAGGGTTCTCAATGGCAAGCCCCCTCTCGCACTCATGCACCACCTCCTCGTAATCCTTCCCTTCATTCGCCGCCTCCAGCATCACAGTGGCGAGGAAATGGGCGTACTCGACGGAATTCGGCGTGAGCTCCACGGCGCGGCGCGCCGACTCGACGGCATTCTTCAAATGCCGCTGCTTGGAGCTCGGGTCCGTGATGACCGTCGCTGTTTTAAAGCAAACGAGGCTGTGGACACGGTGGACGAAGGCGGAGTGGGGAGAGCCCTCCTCCCTGGCGCAAATCTCCTTGAGGAGCTTCATTGCCTTGGTGTGGTTCCCGCGGCGATGCGTGGTGAGTGCGCGCTCGCACTCGAGCTTGATTGTGGAGTTATCGGAACCCTCCGATTGGGGAGGAGCCAATTCGATCTTGCTAGGGTTGTGATCGGAAACATTGCAGGCGTAAGTGTCCGGCGAGTTGGCACCGTTGGCGGCTCCGCCGACGCCGGATTGCGCCGCCGGAGAAGCCGCCGCGGATTGTTTGGAGCGCGGCGTAGGGTTTCGCTTTTTGTGCCCCATCGGTTGAGTTCATACAAATCCGATTCGCGTGCATAAAACACGTGCGGGCGTGGCTGTGTGGCGTGGTGTGATAGATAAAGTGATGGAAAATAGGGCTGGAAAGAGAGAGAGAAAGAGCTGACCTAGCGAAGGGAGTGGTGGCCGGAGAAGGATCGGCGGAAGAATCTAGAAGGGTTGTGAAGGGAAGAAGAGAGAGTGAGGAGCACCTACCCACAGAAGAGGGGTGGGGTTTGATGAAAAGGAGAGCGAGCGAGACAATAGTGATAAATTTATCAAATGGAAACAAATATTCAGTGAATTATTTATAGCTAATAAGCGCGTAATCAATCCGATTAATTAACCCCCACAACACTCACTCCCCACTCTATAACCAAATCTTTTACTTTTAAATATATAAATCATATTATAATTAAACTCTATTTTTTTTATTACATTAATTATATTTAATATTTATCATAAATTATTTATAAGTTACTATTTTTAATTATTGATAACATATACTGAAAGTTAATTTTTTAAAAATTAAAAATTCAAAATACTCTCGATAGTTAAAATCACTTTCATTAGATATAATTATTCTATTTTGATTTTTTAATTATAATAAGATATAAAATATGATCAATTATATTTTTTTATTTTTTATCTTATTTTTAATATTCATTTTAATTCTTTATCTATTAAAAAAAAAATTTTGACAATTTATTTTTTATGTTTGAATTAATTTGATTTTTTTAGGATAATGGTCATTTCAATTTTATGACATTATTTTTATTCAATTTTTCTTGTTGATTTAAAACTTGAATCTTATAACATTAAAATTATGAAAATAATTGATATTTAAAAGACTATAAATATTATGAAAATTGTGTGAAAATAAATCTCATTAATAAGTAAAAGTAGAAAATATTTTTATTTTTTATCATATTTGTAACATATTTAATTTAAATTACAATTGCATTAAATAATTTTCATATAAATGAATTTTCTTAAATAAGTTTAAAGTTTCGACCAATCAAAAAAATATTTAAAATAATTAATTTAAATTTAATAGATAAAGAATTAAAACTAACATTTAAAAAGATAAACAACCAAAATAAATTTTAAAAAAATAAGATAAAGGACAAAAATATAATTTAGTCCATAAAATACTCACTAAAACTTTTTTTTTTTAGAAACTTAAATGGTTTAGAGTGCTTTGAAACAGATTATGATTTTTCATCTTAACTATCCTTTTGAAAAAATTTGTTTGAAAAGAAAATGTTTATGATAATAACTTAAATTTTTAAATAGTTTTCTCTTGAAATTTTATGAAAATATAAATTAGAAAATTTGTAAGTATTGGTTAATAGTTTTTTGTTTAAATTAATTTATTATATAAAATTGTTTCTTTATTGTATCAAGACGAAATTAAATATGCTGAAATTACATTAGAGTCTAAACAAATTCAACACAAAACAAAAGTGACATTGAGCAGTATTACTAAAATAAATTAATTTTTATAATGTTTTTCAAACACACGAAATCTTTCTTGTGAATAAAATTTTCTTATTCACAAAATTTGAATAAGAGAAATTATTTAAGCATACCGAATCCAATGTCATTTATACTAATAATTTATTGTTATGTCATTATTCAAAATTATATAAAATAATTAAATATATGATATTTTAAAATGTTTTTTTTATGAAAAATATTTATTTATTTATTGATGAAAATTTTCAAACTTTAAATTCTAAATTATCTAAATTTTATATTATTTTATTTTATAGTAATTTAATTTAATTGAAAATAAATAAAATTTGACTGAAGATTATTTTTATTAAGAATTAAATTTAAATACTACTCAAATAATTCAACCTTATTTTCATCGTATTATCCATTTATTTATAACTCCTTATTAATTCAAATCTTACATTTTAATTCTTATAAAACAATTTTATCGACAGCATTCTTATTTAAATGCATATTTTAAAAAGTTATCATTAAATTTGTTCTATGAAGGAATGACGTGACATGATTTGGTTATATGATGAGTTGATGACTCATGAGTCAGATAATTTATCACGTGATCTTTCAACAAGACTTATCTGGCAATAAGCGTAAATGACACATATTCTAATTTAGATATTGAATAAAAAAGTTTAAAAAATCAATAATGCGAAACGTACATAAACCCGAAAAATATATCATGCGTTTTATAATGAAATTTTTACTTAAATAATATTTTTTAAAAGAAAAATTACAAAAGTATCAACTGTGCAGGTTTATTTACCAATATAGAACTGTTTATTGTGCATGTTCAGAATTCGGTTCCCGGGGAACTGAATTCTGAGCTTCAAAATCTTATTTTTTTTGTTTTTTCAACTCAGAATTCGGTTCCCAGGGAACCGAATTCTGAGTTATTTTAATTTTTTATTTTTTTTTCGTGTTTCTGGCCCATTTTGGGCAAATGTTGGAAGTGGAACGGCCCATTCCGGAAGCAGAACGGGCCATTCTGCTTAAAGACACATAGTCTTTTTTTTTAAACTAAAACGAGCCAAGAACGACATGTTTCAGAATAGAAATTTAAACAATTTTTTTGAACCTGGAACGGCCTTGGAACGGCCCGTTCCAAAAGATGTTTTTAGGAATCAAAATGTGTTTTGGAACGGGCCGTTCTGGTTTTGGAACGGCCCGTTCTAGGCAAACAGTAAAAATGCTACAATCTAATCCTACAATTACTCTTATTTCTTCCTTTTCAAAACTTTTAGTGTTTTAGTCTTTAATTTTTATTCCAAAGTAATTAATGTTTTATAAATTTCAAATCTTAATAATTTCAAGTCGCAAAGTATAATATAAATATTAATTGAGATTATTTTAAATTATGCTTGACAGACGAAAAATTTCCCTATCAGAGACAACACTTAGACTGTGTGTCTTTAAGCAGAACGGCCCGTTCTACTTCCGGAACGGGCCGTTCCACTTCCAACATTTGCCCAAAATGGGCCAGAAACACGAAAAAAAAAAAACTCAGAATTTGGTTCCCCGGGAACCGAATTCTAAGTTGAAAAAACAAAAAAAAATAAGATTTTGAAGCTTAGAATTCGGTTCCCCGGGAACCGAATTCTGAGCATACACAGTAAACAGTTCTATATTGGTAAATAAACCTGCACAGTTGATACTTTTGTAATTTTTCTTTTAAAAAATATTATTTAAGTAAAAATTTCTTTTATAATATCTGTTATATTAGTTTGTAGAATAAATTTGTCATTTTCTTGAAAATGATATATGTTCTTACCGGAGATCTGCTGTAGAGATGATCCGCCAAGTAAGATCGGTGAGCCTCCTTCGCTGGTATGTTGGGGTTCCAAGATGGGGGTGGTACCTGCAAAAGAGACTCTGATGCTAAAGTTAGGGTTTGTATGAGTATGAGTCTCGTATAAGTAATGCACGTACCTTGTTGTGAATTAGGGTTGCGTTGGGCCTTGGGCCTGAGATCAGTTATGATCTGATTAGATAGCAGATCCCGTCTAGGCCGAGATCTTCCCAGCGCATGTCCGAGATCGTCCTGCGATGTTATGCCGAGCTCGAGCTCGGCATAGCAATACGGATAGTAGAATATAATATCTAAACGTTATCTTTTCTTGTTGAGTTATCAGTAATAGTATGTTTTTATCATTATATATCGTGCTACAAAATATATATATATATATATATATATATATATATATATTATTTTAAAAAATTTACGCTAAATAATAATTTTTGTTGTTTATTCTACATTTTTTCTCAATTTTTAATTATATGATTTAAGTTTTCCAATTTTATAATACATAATTCTAATCTCATACTAAATATTCATTTATTAAGTATTAAAATTTTATCATTAATCATGACATGAAATTAAATAAACGTTATAATAAATTAATATACATAATAATATTTAGATAAAAATATATTTTTATTCTTCTTTTTATACATAAAAATTGAAAAATTGTGTAATATTAGGTAAAGTTACACAATCTAATATGATTTTACTTAACTTCATGAAAAATAAGTAAAAAAATATATAAGAATTTTTTTATCCATTAAAATTACATTAATAGCACTGGTTCAAACTTAAAATCTTGTGTGTGACACTCTCTACTCCATATACCATAATATATAAAATAAATAAAATTGAATCAAGAAATCTATTATAAATAAAATCCAAAAGTTTAACAAAAGAATATCACATTTTAACAAACTAAAAAAATATAATACAATGGAATAACAATTATCTCAAAACATAACAAAAGAAATAATCATAATTAAGTCGTAATGTCACATCCTTTTAGAGTAAAATTTCGAAGGCAACAATTATATCTCATCACTAACATCACCAACATCACAATGACTCTCACCTACAATGACATTTAGAGAGAACAAATACAAACGGGAAGTGAGAAACATCTCACTATAACTTACAACGTAAAATATAGTTGGATAATCAAACACACATAATAATATAATAAGCAAGTAAGACATAGTAACAACATAGTAATAATTCAATTTATTATAAATTAGCAAGGTTCATTTTGATGGATAATACAACATACCTACTTATAACATAACTGACTTATCACATTAATTCATCCACAGCCACGATGCAATGAACACGGACTACAAATGCTCATGTATGTGGTGACAATTAAATCAAGTGGTGTATTGTCATAAGACAACACACAAAGTAGCCTAAGAGTTCCTATCGGGTCACACTCACACCGCACTCTACATTAGGGGGACATACAACCAAGGTCTCATCAAGACAATTGTGTTGTACAAGTTCCACCCCTTGCACATACTGGGCGAGATCAAGATATCCCAAACCCAATTGTCTCCAATGACTGATTCTCAAGTTCTTACACAATGAGACATTCATTGACAATGTATTTCATATCATACCCTTCCAAAACAATTATACACGTGATGCATGTCAAACAAGACTCGATGCATCTATCACCTTACAATAATACAATTTCACCATTGTACATCAGTTTTTTTTCATCACATTGTGACTAAGTGTCACTTATACTTCACATCTCATCAAGATGCAAACATAACGCATATTTCAATTCATCCATGGTTCTCAATCATGATACTAGCATACTCAAATACATCAACTACGCATTATCAATATGTAGCACAGGGATTTTACTCATAACCACTTATACTAATTACGAACAGAGAAACACATAAACTGTAGAACAGTGTTCGATGGCACATGTTTCGCACCTGAAACAAAATCCCCAA